GTAAAGCGCGCGCGCGAGCGAAATTCGCATGCGCCACCCCCCGGAGAAGGATTTCGTCGACCGTGCCTGCATGTCCTTCGTAAACCCTAACCCCGCGAGGATCTTCGACGCGCGCGCCTCCGCCGCTTCCGCGCCGATCTCCCGCATCTCGTCGTACACGTGCGCGAGCTTCTCGCTTGCGCTCGCCTCGTCTTCCTCCTCCTCCGCAGTCGCGGCTGCGGCGGCGGCGGCGGCGGCGGCAGCAGCAGCTGCTGCTGCTGCTTGCGCGCCCTTCTTCCTCCCTTTCCCTTTCGCTTTCCCTGTCGTCCCACTCTCCCCCGTTTCTTCCGGCGTCTCGCTACTCTCTACCTGCTTTTCCTTTTCCTCCCCTTCCCCTTCCGCATGCGAATATTTATCCAGTATCGCTCGTAACCGCGCTTCTTCCTCGCGTAACTTCACCAGCTTCAGATCTGCAGTCACGACAGCTTCTAACGCGGATCTTTCGTCCCCAACCACCTCCTGCTCCACTAAGAGCACGTCAATACCACGTGGCACAGGCAGCTGCCGCCGCGCAAGCAGCTTCATCACCGTCGATTTACCCTTGCCGTTAGGACCTACTAACCCATACCGCCTTCCGTGAACGATAGTTAGCGACGCGTTTCTGAATAGTTCCTTCCCGCGCGCCGAGACCGAAAAGTTCTCCACTTTAATATCGCGTACGTTCGCATCGGCCGCAGTTCCCGCCGCTCCGTCCGCGTCTTCTGAAACGTCCATATCCGCGACTCGGGATCCAAGAGTGACGGAAAACGCGTTAGCGTCGTCCGCTTTAAGAGCCTCTTTGCGCGCCTCCTCCTGGGCTTGCTCAATCATCAGCTCCTTTTCCTTCTTCTTCTTCGCTTGTTTATCCGACATCTGCAAACTTCCCATCCCCGTTACAAGCCCGCGTCCCCTCCCCGCCTTGGATCCGCCGATATCGTCGTCTTCAACAAACTCCCCTTCATCTGCGCCGTCCATTAATTCCTCCTCCTCGTCATCGGACGGCGGGAGATCGACGCCCGCGAGGTAATCGTCTTGCGGCTTCTTGCTCGGCGGAGCGCGAGATTTTTTTCCGCCGCCGCCACCGCCGCCGCCGCCGCCGGAAGAGGCGACGGACGGTTTCTTTTCGCCTTTGCCTTTCTCCTCCACCACGATGCTGCTGACGGAGAACTTTTTTCGGTCCGCGGCGGCCGGCTTGCCTGACCCCGCTTTACCGCCTTTGCCGCTCGTTCCGCCGGCGGAATCGCCTTTCTTGGGAGCCATGGCCGGGGAATGTGCTGACACGACCTATTTAGGAGACGCGTTGGTTACAGAATGCGTCGAAAGCGGAGAAAAACACAGAAGACGCAACTCGAATATAGTCTGGTAACAGCCGATTTCGCGGCGTTCCCGAGGTATCTTCGCACGTTCTACAACGCGCAAGATTCAACTATGCTATAAAAAAAAAAAAAAAAAAAAATCCCAAGGTAATAAGTACCGCAACTAGAGATGTCGTTTTGTCCGCATCAACTTTGGAGAGGAGGGGTATGGCACGCATACCATTCGAAACGAGTGTTTGAAGAGGTTCAACAAGTTACCACGATTTTCAGTGGGATAATGTACGTTTCAATACGGTGGCTGTGCAAAAGAGAAAATAGAAAGCATGGTATATCCTTGATGGGTGGGGCAAAATCCATAAGTGCGATGGCAGCCGCATATTGATTGCCACGCGGCGAATCCGAGCTGAGCTGGCGCAGCGTCATGGGATGAGCAGTTCTAGGATGCTCCGGCGTCACCGGGGGGAGATTTGACACGTTCGTAGTGTACACTGTAATCACGCTGCATATATTTGGATAAGTCCATAACATCATTTATTGATGTTTGGGTTTGGTACATGAGATCATGCTGGAGCTTTATGGTCTTGAAGGAGATCCTTGAAGGCGTGTGACATCCTGGAAATTTATCATTACAATGAGGGAACATTGGGAATCAAACATAGTGATAGATTAAAAAAAAAACGACGGCTTACCTTCAAGAAATGATACAATACTGTAGAAGCAGGGCGTACCTCCAAGGGAGGTGGTCGAGGAACATGGAGGGCGAGACGAGAAGATCTCGCAACGACTCCCGGGGGATGAAGCGCGAGCGGTGGCGCGAGGAGGAAAAGGGGCTGCCCGCCAGTGACCGAAACGACTCCAGCAGCCCTGGCTTGGCTGCTGCTGCCTCCAACACCCTCTCCTCCTGTGACCCACCTTGCATTTCCCCTTGCATAGCGCCTTGCATTTCGTCCACACCCCTGGCTTCTAGATTACCATTGCTTGAACCCCTGGCTGTGCTATCCTTCTCAACCCCCTCATTCCCCTCAACCCTCTCGACCCCCTCACCTTCCTCATCCCTCTCACCCCCCTCACCCCTCTCAACCCCCTCACACCCATCATCCTTGCTTCTCGCTGATCCATTCCCATTTTGTCGCACTCCTCCATTACAATCAGCTTCGATAATTTCAATGCAGATCGCACCCTCATTGCCATTCCCCACATCGATCCTCACTGACGCCGCGTCAGCCTCAGGCGAGCCGGCTGCTGACGTGGCACCCTTATCATCCTTCACTTTCCGCACTGCTGATGTGGCACCCTTATCCTCCCTAACTACACGCACTGCTGACGTGGCAGGTCTAACCTCTTCCCTCACGATATGCACGACCTTGCCCAGAACATACACCTCCCCTGGGAACTCCTGCTCCTGCTCCACCAGCCAAGCCGGCCGGCTCCTGGTATGTGTTACACCCCCTCCCATGCGGTTACCAGCACTGCCGCTCGCACTCCTCCTCGCACCACCAGCAGCAGCGCCAGAAGCACCAGCAGCACTGCTCCTATGATTGCCTCTTCCTCCTCCGCTCCCACCCCAGTGAATACCACTGCTACCACCCCAGCCACCGCCACCACCCCCACTGCTGCCGCCACTGCCGCCACCATCAGAATCGGCTGCAGCAAGTGCAACGTCGTTGGCGCTGCTGCTGCGGCGGGGGAGGTGGGAGAGGAGAGAGAAGGACCGTTTCATGCGCCCCTGATGCAAGGGAGGGAGCTTGTAGGGTGATGCTGCTGCTGGGGCTGCTGCGTTCTCTGGTGCTGCCTTGTGATTCTGCTGCTGTGAATCTGCTGGGCTGCTGCCTTCCCTGCAGCCACCCTCCCCAGTGCTTGCATCAGAAAAGGCGGCAAGAGCAGCAGAGGCGGCATCACCAGGAGATGCGGCATCAGCAGACAATCCAGCAGAAGCTTCCTCATTGCTTCCTCTGAATCCGCTCCCATCACTATCCACCCTCCCAACAGCGTCGCTGCTGCTAGTGCGTGCTGCTGGGAGGGAGGGAGGGGCGGCAGTAGCAGGAGGGAGGGGAGGAAGAGCGCGTGAGTGAGTGGTGGTGGCAGGAGCAGGAGGAGCAGAGGGAGCAGAAGGAGCAGCAGCAGCAGCAGCACCACCACCACCACCACCCACACCAACACCAGCACCAGCAGCACCAGCAGCGGCAGCAGCAGCAGAAGCAGAAGCAGAAGCAGAAGCAGAAGCAGAAGCAGAAGCAGAAGCAGAAGCACCACCACCACCACCAATAGCAGGAGGGAGGGGAGGAAGAGCGCGTGAATGAGTGGTGGTGGCAGGAGGAGCAGGAGGAGAAGCAGGAGCAGCAGAAGGAGCAGCAGCAGCAGCAGGAGCAGCAGCACCACCACCACCCGCACCAACACCAGCACCAGCAGCACCAGCAGCAGCAGCAGCAGCAGCAGCACCAGCAGCATCGTTATCAGCACCAGCAGCAGCAGCAGTGCCAACAGCATCATCTGCTGGCGGCTCAAAACTCTGCTGCCCTGGGAACTCATGCTTGGTGCGGGAACGGGCGTGCTCGCTTGCACTATCACCAGAAGGAGCAGCAGCACCAGCAGCATCGTTATCAGCAGCAGCAGCAGCGGCAGTAGCAGCACCAGCAGCAGCAGCAGCATCTGCACCATCTTGTTGCTCTGGGAGTTCGATCTTGGTGTGGGAGTGGGCAAGCTCGCTTGCACTATCACCAGAAGGAGCAGCAGCACCAGCAGCATCTTGCTGCCCTGGGAGTTCAATCTTGGTGCGGCAGTACCCATGCTGGCTGGCCGAGACAACAAACCCAGCCACTCCTGACACAACACACCACACCCCTTGCGCCTCGTGAGCCCATTTCACCAACCTCTGCCTGCTGCTGCTGCTGCTGCTGCTGCTACTCTTGCCACTGCTTCTGGTGCTTCTGCTGATGCTGCTGCTGCTGGTGGTGCTGCTGTTTGCACCAGCAACGCTCCTTTTCCTGGCTTCGTCTACTCCTCCTCCTGCTCCTGGAGTCTTGCTGCTTGGTGCCTGTGCAACAGGGGACTGTGATTCTGAGGCAGATGCCACTGTAGCAGATGATGCTGTATCAGGTGGCACTGTAGCGAGTGACACTGTAGCAGGTGCCACTGTAGCTAGAGACTCTGTAGGTTCTGTCCCTGCGGACCCTACCAATAAGTTATCTGGTGGTAACTTCTTACTCTCAGCCCCTCCACCTGTTTCAGATGACATCCCTCCACCTGATTCGTTTTCAACGATCTCTGCTCCTCCTCCCCCTCCTCTTGCTCCGGCTTCTGTTGCTGCGGCGGCTGCTGCCGCTGCTGTTGTTGCCGCTGCTGCTCCTGCTGCCAAACCACTTGAACCTACCGAGCCTCTCACAAAGGAAAGGTCGGAGATCGACCTTCCGAGGCTAGGTTTGCCGCTAGGTTTGAGGCCAGGCTTGGAAGCCCCAATATTCGATCCCCCAATAGCAGAGTCCCCCATATAAGCACTCTCTTTTTTCCGCTGTGGTTCGCTTTCCGCCTCCTGCACTCCCTCTAACCGCTCTGCACTGTTCCTCACACCTCTCTCCCCCACGCCACTCCTCCCCTCTGCTTCCCCGTCACCCCCATTCTCCCCCTCCTCATCCCTCCCCCTCCACCCTCTCCTCGCTCCCCACCCACCCCACAGATATTTCTTCGTCTTTCGATGACGTGGCATGACGTTTTCTCTCAGCCAATCCTGTGCGCCCTTATCCCCCTTAGCCTGGCAATACTCGATCAGGGAAGCATAATCCTCCCTGGCGTATCCGGTCAGCCTAGACCCACCGGCAGCAGCAACAGCACCAGCACCAGAAGGAGCCAGAGCAAGACCAGCACCGGCAGTACCGTCAGCACCAGCAGCAGCAGCAGCAGCAAAACGAGCAACAGCAGCGACAGCCACAGCAGAAGAACCAGCAGCAGCAGCAGCAGCAGCAGCAGCAGCAGAGCTAGTGCCAGCAGCAGCAGTGGCACGTTTGGTGGGAGTGGGAAGAATACCCAATCCCTTCCACTGCCGTGGCATGTGCAGCCCATGCCTTAGCACCTGCTCTTCCTCCTCCTCTTCCGCCCCTCGCTGTCCCCAGTGCCTGTGGAAGGCAAAATGGTGGTGCGGGGTCGAGAGGTGTGCGGCGTGGTGCAGTGCGGTTTGCGCGGAATGAGCAGCAGCCGAAGCAGCAGATGAAGCGGCTGCTGATGCTGCCGACGCTGCAGATGCAGCAGCAGTCCTCGCAAAGCTAGCCATCCTATGCAGTTTTGGCTTCCCATGCTCTCTCTGCTGCTGCTCCCCCTCCTCCTCCCCTTCCTCTGCCCCCCCAATCCTGTTCCTAAGCCCTAACTCCTGCCCTACTGACCCTGCTCCCCCCACCATCCCATCCCCCACCCTGTTCACCCCACCCATCTCATTACCTTCATCCCCGCGCCCTATCCCAAACGGCAGAGTGAAGAGCCGTGACAATAGCCGATCCACTGCCGCAGCCCTCATTCCGGCTGATCCTGCCTGCGCGCCCGGCCCCACTGCCGCTACAGCCGTGCCCAGCAGTCCGCCTGCACGCGTGTCTGCTGCTACAGCCCGGAGCGCTGCTGCTCGCAGGCGCATGACTGATGCTACAGATGTCCGCGGGGAAAACTCGTCATTATATACGAAGCTGTAGTGGTGGGGTAAGGAAGGGGAAGGTGGGGAGGCAACAATAAAGGTGAGAGGGAGGGGGCTCTGAGCGCTGCTGCTCGCAGGCACATGACTGATGCAACAGATGTGCGCGGGGAAAATTCATCATTATATACGAAGCTGTAGCGGGGGCGGAGGGAGTTGCGAGGGGGGAGGGACGGGGAAATGCAGGGGGAAAGGGGAAATGCAGTAAGTGGGTCTATGGTATGGTATATGTATAACAGTGACTGCTCTGAGTGCCTGGTCACAAATCCCATTTAGTAAACTAAGCACGTAACAGAGAAAGGAAGCATCACAAAACGAGGATACTCAGCAAGCACAGGGATTTGAGCTGTGCACTGCTGAGATAACCAAGAATTTGTCGCAAAGCAAGGAAAATGAGCGATGCACGGCCTAATTAGTCTGGAATTGTTCACGAGGCGAAGCACGCATGTGGTGATGAAGTTGGAGCAGGCAGAGGCAGTGGGGAAGTCCAGTTAGCAAGTACAGTCAGCACAGATAAACAGGCATCGCAGTCGGCAAGTTACTGGTAACCAGAATTGGTCGCACAGTGAAACAAAGCACGCACGTGGTGATGAAGTTGGAGCAGGCAGAGGCAGTGGCGAAGTCCACACAAGGCATGGAGCCATAGCCAATCGCCCGCAGCTCAGGAAACCGCTTTCTCAACTGGAGGGGTGCAGAGGGGGTAGGGTGGAATCTACATCTGAAGCACCTCAACAAGAGAGGCAGTGGCGAAGTCCACACAAGGCATCGAACCATAGCCTATCGCCTGCAGCTCAGGAAACCGTTTTCTCAACTGCGCAGGGAGAATGGTGCAGAGGATGCATGGTGGAAGAGAGGTGTTGAGGCATCTCAAGAATAATTGTTGGAGCAGGCAGAGGCAGTAGCGAAGTCCACACAGGGCATGGACCCATAACCTATCGCCCGCAGCTCAGGGAAACGCTTTCTCAACTGTGCGCAGGGGGAATGCGGCAGGGGTGCAGAGGGGGGAGGGACCATAGAGCTAAGTCCACACAGGGCATGGAACCCTAACCTATCGCCCGCAGCTCAGGGAAGCGCTTTCTTAACTGTGCGCAGGGGGGATGAAGCGGAGGTTACAGGCGGGAAGAGCGATTTTGAGGTGACTCATTGATAGAAGTTGGAGCAGGCAGAGGCAGTGGCGAAGTTAACACAGGGCATCGACCCATAGCCTATCGCCCGCAGCTCAGGGAATCGCTTCCTTAACTGTGCGGAGGGAATGCAGCAGGCATGCAAACGGAGAAGGTTGGAGTCTGTTTGACTTTTGAGGCGCCTCAAAAGGGGAATGCAGCAGGCGTGCTAAGGGAGAAGGTTGGAGTCTGTTTGAGATGTTTCAAGAATGGAGGCAGAGGCAGTGGTGAAGTCAACACAGGGCATGGAACCATAGCCTGTCACTGCACACAGCGCCACATGGAGTGGCCCATGGATTGGCCCATGCAGTGACCCATGGAGTGACCCATGCAGTGACCCATGGAGTGACCCATGCAGTGACCCATGGAGTGACCCATGCAGTGACCCATGGAGTGACCCATGGAGTGACCCATGGAGTGACCCATGGAGTGACCCATGCTATGCTCACCAGTTGAAAGCCTATCTTGCTCTTCCTTCAGAAGCTCTCCCGCTTGACAGGTTATCTTATCACCCTCTTCCTCCACTGCCCTCCCCTTCCCCCCCTCCCCACCCCCCATGCTTTTTCGGACAGCACTCACACCCACCCGAACCGCACTCACACCCACCCGAACCGCACTCACACCCACCCGAATCGCAATCACTCACCCCGATGGCAGGGAGGCTCACCCGAATGGCAGTGAGGCTGCACACAGCCCCCCCCATGGAGTTCCCCACAAGTCGCAACTGCTGCAGTGACGCATCAGAAACCCCTTCTCTCCCCTCCCTACATTCCACCTCACCCGGAAAGCACTCACTCACCCGGATGGCAGTGAGGCTGCACACAGCCCCCCCCATGGAGTGCCCCACAAGTCGCAGCCCATACCCCTCGCACTCGCCTCCCTCCCCTAGCAACTCCGACAGAATGCCTGGAGGGCAGAGTGGGAGTGGCAGGAGTGTGAGAGCAACGGGAGAGGGTTTGAAGAGAGGAAAGCAGTGAGCATTTGAGGCATTTTGAGGGCTGCACCCCTCGCACTCGCCACTCGCCTCCCTCCCCTAGCAGCTCCGAGGGAATGTCTGCAGGCCAGAGGGCGAACAGGGGAAGAAGTGACATGAGAATCGACTCGAGAGTCAGAGGGTGGAGTGAGAATGGGATGAAATGAAGGAAGGGAAACCAGGGTGATTTGAGCCACCTCGGCCCACACACCTCATTCGGCCGCTACTCGATCAGTCATAACCCGCCCGCCGCCCTCACACTCGCCAATCTTAGCATAGAAAATCAGCACGCACCCCTCTCAACCCACCAATGTCATGTCAGCAGGCACCTCTCTCAACCGACCAGAACCGCAATTCACCTCTTCTCGGCTACTCCCTCTCCTTGTGCCCCAGCAGCGACCCCTCCTCTTCCCTCCATGCCATCCCCTCTCCTTTCCCCCTCCTCCTCGTCTCCCCCATCCCCCATATTATCAAGCTGCAGAGCCAAGTCGCTTGCTACTGCAACCACATCAACACTCACCTCTTCTCGGTCGCTTCCTCTCCTTCTGTCCCAGCAGCGACCCCTCCTCGTCATCCCCTCCCCCATCCTCCATGCTCCCTGCTTTTCCTTGAGTCCCCTCCCCCTCCTCGTCTTCCCCATCCCCCATGTTATCAAGCTGAAGAGCCAGATCGCGTGCTGCTGTCACCACCCCCGCATGGCCAAAGTAAGGGACTAGCCTGTCGGTCACCAGAGGGGGATGGAGCTCGGACCTAAGGGGAAAACAGGCCACAGGGGAGAGGGGGAACATGTGGGGGCGGGAGGGGAATGAGGGGAAGACCGCTTGCTACCGCTTGTCATCACCCCCCCACGCTTTAAGTAAGGTACCAAATTTGTTTTCCTTTCCTCGTCTCCCCCATCCCCCATGTTATCAAGCTGAAGAGCCAAATCACGTGCTGCTGTCACCACCCCTGCATGGCATGGCATGGCCAAAGTAAGGCACCAATCTGTCCGTCACCAGTGGGGGATGGAGCTCGGACCTAGGGAGGCAAGCCACAGAGAGAGGGGTGAGGAGGGACGTGACGGAATTGGGAAGGGCAACAAGAGGAATATCACGTGCTGCTGTCACCACCCCCGCATGGCCTAAGTAAGGCACCAATCTGTCCGTCACCAGTGGGGGATGGAGCTCGGACCTAGGGAGGCAAGCCACAGAGAGAGGGGTGAGGAGGGACGTGACGGAATTGGGAAGGGCAACAAGAGGAATATCACGTGCTGCTGTCACCACCCCCGCATGGCCTAAGTACGGCACCAGTCTGTCCGTTACCAGGGGAGGATGGAGCTCGGACCTAGGGGGGAATAGAACGGGAGAGGCGAGGGGGGAAATGGAGGAAGTTGGAAGGAAAGAGAGAGGAATATCAAGTGCTGCTGTCACCACCCCCGCATGGCCAAAGTAAGGCACCGCCCTTTCCGTCGCCAGGGGAGGATGGAGCTCGGGCGAAGGGGGAAACTAGCCGCAGGCTGAATTCCCAGAATCTGAAAAGGGACGACTCACCAGGCCCAATTCCACTCACTCACACTCCATGGGTCTAAGGCAACTGTCAATGCCTCCCATATCCGCGTCACTGAGTGGGCATTCCCTCCCAGCCCGTCAATGATCATATCCTCCAGGGACTCCGTGCCCCTCACTGCCACCACCACCACCTTGCATTGCCTCACTCAAGCACACAAACCAGGAACCAGAACCTAAGACAGCTCAAGAGGCCTCTCACTCACCTGTCAATCCCTCCCATATCCGCGTCACTGAGTGGACATTCCCGCCCCAGCCCATCGATAATCATGTCTTCTAGGGACTCCGTGCCCCTCACTGCCACCACCACCAGCCGCAGCTGATGCAGCACCACCACGAAATACACTGCCTGCCCTGCTTCCTCCTGTGGGTGGGCATTAAAGAGGGTGCGGGTGGGAGAGAGACAGACTTAAACACGGCACTAGAGGAGCTATCACCAGCCGCAGCTGATGCAGCACCACCACGAAATACACCGGCTGCTCTGCTGCCTCCTGTGGGTGGGCATTAACGAGGGTACGGGTGGGAGAGAGGCTCTAGAGGAGCCATCACCAGCCGCAGCTGATGCAGCACCACCACCAACAAAGTACACTGCTTGCACTGCTGCCTCCTGTTGATTTTGGAGAAACGGGGAGATGGGGGTGGGGAAGGAGGGTAAGAATTAACAGATACACTGGAATATGCACCAGAATATTCCGGTATCAAATATTGCCTGAACCAGAGCTCAGCTGTCTGACGCGCGCCTTTCTGAGAGCGGAGGGCGGAAGGTGATATTATTTGTCGTCACTCATGGTTGGAAGGGCAGCAGTGCTTAGAGATCACTTGTAGTAAGTAAAGAGAGGGCAGCAGGTGATGTTACTTGTCGTCACTCATGGTTGGTAGTACATGGTAGTACGGACCGCTTAGAGGGCAGCAGTGCTTAGAGATCGCTTGTAGCAAGTAAAGAGAGGGCGGCAGGTGATGTTTCTTGAGAAAGGCTGACGCATGGCCCACCTACCTTCACCATCACATCACCAGCTCACACCTGCTGCTCCAGAAGACACCTGAACCAGATCTCACCTGTCGGACGCGCGCCTTCCTGAGAGCGGAGGGCGGCAGGTGGAGATACTTGAGGAAGGCAGACGCATGCCCCCTCCACCAGTTGTCACCTTGCAGGGATGGGTACCTGGGAGTGAGATGGCAAAGTCATGATGTGGGGGGAGGGGGGGGAGGAGGTAGTGAGGGTGGTACGGGAGTCAATGCTTAGGATGTACTTGAGGGAGGCTGGTGCATGGCCCCTCCACCAGTTGTCACCTTGCAGTGCAGGGTACCTGGGAGTGGGGCAAGGGAGACGGAGGGAGGTGGGTGAGAATGTTGATCCAGACGAATAAGAAGGTACACGCTGTGCTGTTGTCATGGGCTGACCGCACCTGTGCTGTTGCCACGGACTGGCCGTACCTGTGTTGCTGCCACGGACTGACCGTACCTGTGTTGCTGCCACGGACTGACCGTACCTGAACTGCTACAATGGAACCACCAAACCACCACCCATTTCTCCACACCCAAGCACATGCAAAGATGCACATCTAACGACCCCACGCTATACCTTACCTGCAGTGCAGGCATGGACTGTACCTCTAGGTATTACTTTACTGCACCTGGACTGCTGCCATGGAAAGAACATCCCGTGCCTCCACACCCACACACAATGACAAGCAAAGATGGAGAATAGCATGGGGGGTAGAACGTACCTGAAGTGCAGGCATGGGCCGTATGTACTTGTAGGTTTGACCACACCGCAGCTGGACTGCTGCCAAGGAAAGAGCATCCCTTGCCCCCACACCCACGTGGACGCAAAGGCGAACAAGCTTGGGCTACACCCGTACCTGCAGTGCAGCCCTGGATGGACCGTACCTGTAGGTCTGGCCATACCGCACAAGTGAGTCTGGCCATACCGTACCTGGACTGCTGCCACGGAAAGAACATTCCTTGCCTCCACACCCATGCGCATGCAAAGGTGAAGGGATATCGGCCCATGTCCAGTAGCGGGCCCTGCGCAACGGGAGGGTGAGAGTGGAAGGATGGGGAGAGAGAGAGAGCATTTCGGGTCGGTTCAGATTCATGCAAAGGTGAAAGGATACCGGCCCATGTCCAATAGCGGGCCCTGTGCAACAGGGGGGGGTGAGAGTGGATGGAAAGAGGGAGCGGTTTTGGTCGGTTCAAATTTGTGCAAAGGTGAAGCAATACCTGCCCATGTCAAATAGCAGCGGGCCCTGTGCAATGGGGGAATAGGAGTTGAATGAGAAGACGGAGCATTCCGGGTCTTACCAATATGATGCACAGATGAACGGGAAATGAGAGTGGATGGGAAGGGGGAAGAGATGGAGCGATCAAGGGATGGAATATGAAGGAAATGGAGGAGAGGAAGGTACACACAACATAACCAGGAACCCACACTACGCGCAACCATGCACCCACGGTGTAGGCAGCAATGGCAAGCGGCAGCAGAGCCGCAGCTTCTTCAATGAGGGTTATCGGCACCGAGGCAGGGCGGGAGGGGAAGGGGCCCCCTCTGCCAGCCTGTCACTGCTGTGAAGGTCAACTCTCTCTCCATTGTGAGCCTCACATTGTGAGGTGACAGACATGAGATGTCATCATGACTGCTTACAGTGTAGGCAGCAATGGCAAGCGGCAGCAGAGCCGCAGCTTCTTCAATGAGGGTTATTGGCACACAGGCATGGCGCGAGGGGAAGGGGCCCCCTCTGCCAGCCTGTCACTGCTGTGAGGGTCAACTCTCTCTCCATTGTGAGCCTCACATTGTGAGGTGACAGACATGAGATGTCATTATGATTGCTTACAGTGTAGGCAGCAATGGCAAGCGGCAGCAGAGCCGCAGCTTCCTCAATGAGGGTTATCGGCACCGAGGCAGGCCGGGAGGGGAAGGGACCCCCCTCCGCCAGCCTCTCACTGCTGCTGCTGCCCTCAGTGTCACCCCTGTTAAACCCACGCCCGCTGTCTGCATTGCTGCTGTCAACACCCCTCGCATTGCTGCTGTCAACACCCCTCGCATTGCTGCTGTCAACACCCCTCGCATTGCTGCTGTCAACACCCCTCGCATTGCTGCCGATAGTGCTGCTGCTGCCAACGCTGCTGCTGCTGGTAGTGGTCGTACCACCAGTGTTAAGGGAGTCAAAGACAGAGGGTGCAGTGGTTGAGGAGAGTGGGGTGGCAGCGGTCGTGGATGGTAGTGCGTTGAGATGAGTGGATTGGGAAGAGGAGGAGGAGGAGGAGGAGGTGGGGGCATCGACAGCTGGCGACGGTCGATTGGCTTGAAGAAGGGCTAGCCCTGCGTGCACAGAACAGAAGAGAGAGCGGTTGGAATGGGTTTGACTGTTCACCCTGCAGCAAAAATAGGTTTGAGGTGAGGTGTTTCTCGGGGTTTCCAGTGACAAGTGGCAGTAGCAAACTGGGTTGGACGAGGCTGGTATGGCATGGCATGGCATGGCTTGGTATGGCATGGTATTGTATCGAATGGCATGGCATAACATGGTAGGATATGAGGTATAGGGTGGCATGAGCCATCAACCATCAACCATCCACCATCAACCAACCATCCACCATCAACCATCCACCATCCACCATCAACCATCAACCATCCACCATCAACCATCCACCATCCACCATCAACCATCAACCATCAACCATCCACCATCCACCATCCACCATCCACCATGAACCCCTGCCATGAGCCTTCACCTGAGCAGCTCTAGATGACTGGTCCCCACGGCTCTGTATGCCATCATCCATCATCCATCATCCATCATCCATTGAGCATCACATCCCCCAGCAGCGATGCCCCACCATGGCAAGCACCTGGACTTGCTGCAACCACTATGCCATGCCAACCTGCAGTCACCATCCCCATTACCTGCCAGCAGCTCTAGGTGACCAACCCCCATAGCCCTGTACACGCCATCACATCGCCCAGCACAGCAGTGATGCCACTCTGCCTAGCACCTGTAACTGCTACCATCAGCCATCCCATCACCTGCCATTACCCATCATATTACCTGCAAGCAGTTCTAGATGACTGGCGCCCACGGCCCTGTACGCCATCACATCCCCCAGCAGCGACGCCACTATGTCCACCTCATCGTCTACCTCGTCCCTGGGAGGCATGATGCGAGGATGGGTTGGGAGAGGAGGGAGGGGAAGGGGCAAAGGGGGCTTGTAGGTTCAGTCATCACACTGTCCCCCAGCAGTGATGCCACTATGTCCACCTCATCGTCTACCTCGTCCCTGGGGAAGAGGGAGAATGAGGAGGAGAGCAGGGAGGAGAAGGGGAAAAGAGGACTCGTAGGTCCTGTCATACAGTCCCCCAGCAGTGATGCCACTATGTCCACCTCATCGTATACCTCGTCCCTGGGGAAGAGGGAGAATGAGGAGGAGAGCAGGGAGGAGAAGGGGAAAAGAGGACTCGTAGGTCCTGTCATACAGTCCCCCAGCCGTGATGCCACTATGTCCACCTCATCGTCTACCTCGTCCCTGGGGAAGAGGGAGAATGAGGAGGAGAGCAGGGAGGAGAAGGGGAAAAGAGGACTCGTAGGTCCTGTCATACAGTCCCCCAGCCGTGATGCCACTATGTCCACCTCATCGTCTACCTCGTCCCTGGGAAAAGAAGGGGGAGCGCAGATAGGGGCAAGATGCAGAAAGGGGAAAAAGGGGTGCGTTTTCAATAACCATCCCCCAGCAGTGACGCCACTATGTCCACCTCATCGTCTACCTCGTCCCTGGGGCAAAAGGAGTGGGGGGAGCGGAGCAGGGCAGAGGTATTATGGGTCCAGCCAGCCATCACATCTCCCAGCAGCGATGCCACTATGTCTACCTCATCGTCTACTTCGTCCCTGGGGAGGGGGATGATGGGCGGAAGGGGTAGGGAGGAGCACGATGAGGAGAGCAGGAGAGGAAAACAACTAGAGGATTAAGGGTCTCATCACATACCCCAGCAGCGATGCCACTATATCCACCTCGTCGTCTACCTCGTCCCTGGGGAAGAGGGAGGGGGGAGGGAGAGAGGGGACGAGCGAGAGAAGGGGAGAGGCGTGAGCAAGAAGCAGAATGATTCCTTATCTTCATCACATCCCCCAGCAGCGATGCCATTACGCCCACCTCATCGTCTACCTCGTCCCTGGGGAAGGCGGATGGCAGGGCGGAGAGGAAACCAAGGAAATGATTGAAGGATTCAGACACACCGTCCCCCAGCCAGCAGCGATGCCATTACGTCCACCTCATCGTCTACCTCGTCCCTGAGGCAAGAGGAGGAGAACACGAAGCAGAGCAGAGGAATTATAGTTCAGCCAGTCACAATGTCCCCCAGCCAGCAGCGATGCCACTGCGCCCACCTCATCATCTACCTCGTTCCTGGGGAAGGGCTGATGGGCGGAGGGGAAAGGAGGATATGACGAGGAGAGCACGGGAGGAAAGCGAGAAGTCCACTTATTTCTTGTGCTGAATCTTCTAATTTAACGTATGCTAGATTGTTTCGAGTGTGTGCAATAGTGTCTCTTCAACTTCAACAGCGCTCGTACACTTTCTGTTCTTGTGAATACCAGGGTCTAGATCGCCCTATGCAGCACAGGATTTTGCGGATGCTGCTCCAGTTGAACATCTCCCTGAACAATACTTACCGATGCAGATAGTAATGCGCGCGCGTACCATGGCCTGGCTCGAGGTGTATTTTGAGGCGCCTAAAAATACAATACTTACCAATGCATATAGTAATGCGCGTACCATGGCCTGGCTCGCCCCATACAGCAGAGAATTTCCCGGATGCTCCAGTTGAACATCTCCCGGTAGTGCGCCCGCCACGCGCGGTCCCGCATGGCGTAGAACGACCGCCACATCAGCACGTCGCTGCCAGCTAAGCACTGCCCACCGACGGCGATCCAGCTGGCAGTTAGGACGAAGAGAGCCAGTGGGAGGAGGTAGGTCCAGGGGCCTTGGTAGCCCACTGGCATGGGGGAAACAAAGGGGGGGGGGGGGGGATGAGGGAGGAAGGGGAAGGGGGTGTGGGAGGGGCGAGAGTGGGTAGAGGGAAATGGTTGGTGGTGGTGAGGACGAAGAGAGCCAGTGGGAGGAGGTAGGTCCAGGGGCCCCACTGAATTGTGGATAACAAGCAAGGATTAAGAAACAAGGTAGGAAGGAGCGGGGAGAGTAAAGTGGGGGGATGGAATTGGCTGGTGGTGGTAAGTGGACAGAAATTGACGAAGACAGGAGGAGGTAGGTCCAGCCAGGGGCCTAAGTAAGTAACTCGCCCATCACACCACTGGTATGTCGAACAAGGGGCATGTGGTGAGCGAGTTATTGAGTGGTGCTTCAAGGCGAAGTTATCAAGTCGAGTGAGAAGTTGCAAGTAAGCAGCAGGAGGAAAACGGACGCAAGAGTGGATAACGGGCGACAGGAGACACGGAGCAGGAGACACGGAACAGGAGACACGGAGCAGGAGACACGGAGCAGGAGACACGGAGCAGGAGACACGGAGCAGGAGACACGGAGCAGGAGACACGGAGCAGGAGACACGGAGCAGGAGACACGGAGCAGGAGACGTACGTTTCAAGGGGCATGAGGGTAGTTGGGAGTGCAGCATTGATTGGACGTCTTTTGAGACGTACAAAAAGTTGCGTGAGTCAATACCGACAGGAGACAGGGTTCAGGGGGCAGGAGAGAAGAGACGTACGTTTCAAGGGGCATGAGGGTAGTTGGGAGTCCAGCATTGATTGGACGACGGCGACAGTGAGGAAGAGAGCTGCGCCTGTTTGTAACAGGGTTACCACATGGCCCACCCTGCTCCACCTCACCCACGCACGGTAGCGATGCTGATGACAGACAAGAAGGGGGAATGGAATTAGACAGACCAGGAGAAGACACACTTGTAATAGGGTTACCACATGGGCCATCTTGCTCCTCCTCACCCACGCACAGTAGCGACCCTGAACGCACGAGCATGGTAGTGGCACAGGTTGGGTGGGTGGGTGGGGGAGGGAACGATAGAGGGGTAGGGGGAGGGCGGAGGACCCATAAGCACCTGTCGCTCGGACTTGTTTGCGCAGCCAGACAGTGAGGTGGACAGCCTGATCGCTTGCAGCTCGTCGCCATCCGAGTCCGCGTCACTCCCCCAGCCATTGATCCCCCAGGCCCACCCCACTTCCCCCCACACATTTCATGTTTGGACGTCTCAAAACCACACACATGCCATACTCACTTGTCGCTCGGACTTGTTTGCGCTCCCCGACAACGAGGTGGAAAGCCTGATCGCTTGCAGCTCGTCTCCATCTGAGTCCGCGTCACTCCCCCAGCCATTGATCCTCACGTCTCCTGCACCCCCCCCTGCTTGGTTACTTTCTCTTCCTGCTCCTCCTCCTTCGCTTCCCCCTCCTCCTCCTTCTCTTCCTCCTTCTCCATCTCTTCCCCCTTCTCTTTCTCCTCCTCCTTCTCTTCCTGCTCTCCCTGATACTCCTCGTCGCCTGCTTTTTTCTCGTGCAGCAGCGACTCGGCTGCTCCCCCCTCTGCCAGGAGCTTCATCCTCCTTATAAGCTGCTCTCTCGCTTTCGTTAAGAGATGCCAAGTCCTGCGCTGAACCGGCTACGGTTATTGCGTCAGCTGCTGCAGCTTGAGCTGCTGCTGCGCCTACGGCCCAAAACATTCAATGAAAGAGATTGTAACGGTGCTGGAACATTCATTCTTCTTGCACTGTACACCTGTGGCGAAAGAAGTTCCAGCAACGAGCAAAATGAATGGCAGAAGGATCAGCGAAATCGTGCGAAACCGGCGAAGCCCGCTACAGCAACCGAAGCTTCTCCGCCAAGTCCCCATTTCGTTCGCATGAGAAGAAGCCGAGCAGCGAGTTAAGTTGGTAAAGGATCACACAACTAGGAAAAGTTACAAGTCACTTTGAAGTCAATTATAAATGTCCTCGAAATGAATTCGCGCACTTTGAACGCGAGCATCTACAGTATCTTCGCGTAAGCATTCGTGTCTTCTTGGACGTCGGAACACTGCTAAACTACGGGTCTCGTCAACTTTCTTAGGTGTCTGACACCGTTGGAGCCGCGCTGAGAGCTGAGCCTCAAAGCAAGCAATGCGGACGAATGAAATGACACTGCTTGCCAATTAGCCACCTCGAAGAAACTGATTGTTCCTGCTTGGACGACTTGTTCCTGAGTGGGTGAAGCCTGAAGCTAACAACTCCTTTTGCCCAGATGCTAGGAGGACCTGTTGTGTGGCCAGGTTGTATCTCTGATACAGAGCCGAGCTCAGCCACCCTTGGGGTTGCACCCTCAGAAGAGTTGGACGTGAAGAGTTGGACGTGGCTTGATACGATACAGAAGCTTACAGTGCGGTTGAGAGTCAAGCCTTCCTGGTCCTCGAATTTGTCCTTGCAACCCCCAAACATGCATTTGTTCGCATTTGGTCTGGTGCGTGTGGGTCTGGACTGGAGTTGCAGCTGCTGCGCTCAGGAATCAAATCGAGGTAGGCTTGGAGCACCGCTCCCTAACCAACCCCTATGTCCGTCGCATTCTCGAGGGCAGGAGATGCTGACTGACAGGAGATGCTCCCTCGAATCGACGGTTCAGATGACGCTTGCAAAAGTTTGTGTTTGGCTGTCATCTGTCGTGTGCCCTTCGTTTCAAGCTCGGCTGGCGTAGTGAGCGAAAACTGGTCAGGAAATGGTGACTGACGGGTTTCTCGACAACGTTATACGAACTGGATTCTGTTTTTCGCGTCCTAACGAAGATGCAAGCGAAGCTCGCAATAGTCAGGCAGTAACCGGACGGATCAGGTGAACTGAAGTGATGAAGAATTTGAGGCTCCAGGCCAGGCAGATACATCCACAAGCTGAGCAGAATTTGAGGCTCCAGGCCACAAGCCGAAGCATTTGAGTCAGGGAATGCTAGGAAACCAGTCATTCCTTCAGACAGGCTAAGGCTCCCTTGTATTTATCCTTACGAAACCAGTGATTGGACACGTCGCGACTTCGTATGTCGACTGTAAATTGCTGCAGCCACGTCAGGCTAGGTGTTGTAACAACAAACCCTGAAATTTGTTGCAAAAGCACATCACGCCAAACTATAGCGCAAATCCTCTCTCTTTTAGGTTACAACAAGCGCTAATTTCCGAGCTTCCTTCTTCTCTCCCGCCTCGTAACTCACCATGCCGTACGTTCCTCCTCATAGGCGAGCCGGCGCAGCAGCAAGTTCCACTACCGAGTCTGCTTCTACCGAATTTGCTTCTATGCAGCCATCTGTGCTAGGTCCAGGACCTGTAGGCTCGGCATTCGCCTCGGGAAACAGGTTCGGAGGACGAGGTCGAGGCAGAGGCCGTGACGAGCCTAGTGGGGGACGAGGCAGAAGCTTTTTTTCAAAACGAAACCGTCGGATTCTCCCAATGCCGTTTTCTACACCCTGGTCGACGATTTTGAGCAGCGGAAGTCCTCTGTAACGTTACTTGCCTGTATTCGGGACCGTGCTTGTAACGGGGGAAGAGCTCGTTGTAACCGAGCAGTGTACAGGTTTCAGCAGGGGGAACGAAGTCTTGCTACACTAAGAATAGTCTCGGAAACAGGAGGAGGAGACAACATCGGAGCATGTGCGGATTCGTCACATCATTCTGGTGTCACTTTCTCCTCATCACGCTCTCTCTCGCACTCGCCGTCTTCTTCTCCCTCTCCCTCTCCTTTTCCCGCTCCTTCTCCCACTCTCTCTCCCCCTCGCTCTCCCTCTCCCCCTCTCTTACCCTCTCCCTCCTTCTCTCCCTCCTTATCCAATTCCATAATGGGTCTTCTCCGTGGGGCTTTTGAAGCCGCTCATAGAGACATGCACGTTACAGGAGAGCCTCTGATTGGTCAACCCCGGGTTGTGGATCGGTGCAAGCTGACGGTGAAGCTCGGGAAGATTCAGATCAAACCACCTCGGGGATCTCAAGGGTAAGTGGGAAAGGCATTGCTTGTAAGAAATCGTTGGGCATTGGAAGTAAGATGAGCTTGTTGGGTGTGTGACGCCGCAACCCGATTCCCGTTTCTCTGTTTCTATTGGCAAAGAGACGATTGAGAATCCTCAAAAACCAATCCACAAGAGCTAGAGACAGACACACCTGTGGCTTGGAGTGAGACACACTTCTTTCCGATTCCTCTGTTTGCAACTGATACACTTTCAGAAATGTAGTCCTCATTAAAAAAAAAACAAAAACAAAAAACAACAAACGTTACGTCTGCTGCTCTTTCACCATTTCGCTCCTCTCACGCGAATTCGTTGAGCAGGCGTGCGGCGTGCCTAAGCCTCTCCTCCATACTCCCCTCCATACGTCCCCTCTCTGCGCCTTTCCCCACCACTCTGCACCTCGCTGCACGGCTCTGCACTTGGTCTCTCCCCACCAGCGTGCCGCCCTTCACAGCGGGAGCGTTGGAATCTCATCTGAACCAGCAGGGTAAACAGTTGCCTCTGAGGGTCAAGAGCCCGTACGAGAAAGGATTGTCAAAGGCGGTGTTCGATGCGGTGGAGAGTGGTGCACTGGAGGAGGGGACCAGGGGCCCACACACAAAGACATTCTTCCATCTGCGGGTATTTATTGGTATCCAATCGGGTGGTATTTTCAATCGAATAGAACTGGGAAGAACGGAATGGTATTTTGAATCACATAGAGGTCGTGTTTCATGTGGTGGAGAGTTTAGTACAGAGGGATTTGACTTGCTTTTCCAGAATTAAAGTCCGGCTTTTGGGTCACCCGCTTGTACGAGAAAGGGTTGTAGGGGGCTCTGAGCTTACGACTAGCTGACTTATTAGGGTTTGTGTGTGGAGATGCCATGCTCTGGTAGGTAACCTGATTTTGGAGGCTGCTCGGAAGCACTTTTGTGAACGACGAACAAAAAAAAACTAGGGGGAGAGGGGGGTGGGGGGGTGGTGGGGAGGGGAGGGAGGGAGGGGAGGGGGGGGTTTAGGTGTGTTGATTGTCACTTGGATGTCTGACCTTTGGAATGAGTGGAGGTGGTGTGGCTTGAATGCTATGGTTTGGCATGTGTTTTGATGAAAACGAGGGACTGTGATCTCTTCTTCTCTTTCCTCTTGTTTCGTTTCCTCCTGGCACTATCCAGATCTCAACTATTCTTTGCGCTCAGTCCATACCAGACTAAGCTGACAATAGTTTCTTACACAACTTTTTCTTGCAAATGCCACAAAATGTCACAGGTTAAAGACAACGAGGCGGACATGACATACAAGCTGATTTGCGCTCCTCACCCTGATGGTACAAGGCTTATCCTCACTAAGGTGTGCTTCAACAAATCATGAGTTGAATATGCAATTATATGTTTTTGTTTGTTTTCCTGACAGGCATTGAGCTCGCTCCTTCAATGCCTCTATTCCCCCCAAAGTCTTTGGATCACTTGTGAATTGCGACCACCTCTAATCTCTCCATTCTCATCTTGTATTTTACCCGCCTTTCTGGTTTCACCCACCTTTTCCAAGCCTTTCAGGTCAAGTGCCACTCAACGCGCTATGCACTCATTGACGTGGCTCGTCCTGCCAGCAGTGTCGCTTCGTTCCCTTCCTCCATTTCACCCCCTTCTTCTCTTTCATCCCTGGCAGGTCAAGTGCCACTCAACGCGCTATGCACTCATTGACGTGGCTCGTCCTGCCAGCAGTGTCGCTTCGTTCCCTTCCTCCATTTCACCCCCTTCTTCTCTTTCATCCCTGTCAGGTCAAGTGCCACTCAACGCGCTATGCACTCATCGATGTGGCTCGTCCTGTCAACGCTGTTGACTTTCGCTTCTTTCTCAGAAAGGAATCCCGGATCTGCTCCCTTGACGTGCGTAGGAGGGGTGAGGGAGGGGTGATGGGGGTGAGGGATAAGGTTAAGGCAGGTTCATTTGAACGTGCTATGCACTCATTGATGCCGCTCGCCCTGTCAATGGTGTTGACTTTCGCCTCTTTCTCAGAAATGAATCCCGGGTCTGCTCCCTTGATGTGCGTAGGAGGGGTGAGGGTGAGGGTGAAGTGGGATCTGCTCTCTTGATATTTTATGAATGGTTAGGGGGTGAAGAGAGATGGGTTAAGGTGTTGAGCGAGGTGGGAAAGGTGAGGGATGTGGAGAATCCAGGCTCTGCTTTCTTGACGTGTGAGGGCTGAGGGGTGAGGGAGTGAGGGATTAGGGGATGAGGGGATGAGGGGATGAGGGGATGAATGGGAAGGGGTGAGGTAGAGAGAACCCAAGCTCTGCTGTTTTGATATGGGTGTGAAAGGATGAATGGCTGGAAGGTTGAAGGGTGAAGGATGCAGGGGGTAAGGGTGAAGGATGCAGGGGGAAAGGGTGAAGGATGCAGGGGGTAAGGGTGAAGGATGCATGGGGTAAGGTTGAAGAGTGAAGGGGGTGTACGGGTGAAGGGGTGAAAGGTGAAGGGCGAGGCTGAGTTTTTCCTAACTGGTCTGTACAAGAGGAGGCTCAGCCTCGCACGTCACCTCTCACCATTCAGGTTCCTCTCGTCCTGTGGTGCGTTGGCACTCTCTTTACTCCTCGCTCCACTCCACACATCCCTCTCTTCAGAACACATTTATTCTTCTTGGTCTGCACTTGGGGACCTACAGCTCACTCACATCACATCCCCAATTTGTTTAGGCGCCTCAAAAACATTTGAGGCGATTTTTTAGGCGCTTCAAAGAACAACACCTCACATCCCCAACGCCTTTTCCACTCAATGCCCCCTCCAGGATGCCATCCGGTCTGACACCTCCTCAAAGAGCCTGCTGCGCTGGCCGACTGCTCTCCCACACCTTGACTTTGATGCCACGGCCATGCATCCACCACACCCCTCATCATCATCCGCCTCTTCTTCGTCATCATTGGAAAGGTTTGAGTCACCTTCTTCTGCCGTTGAGAACTCTCAAAACACGCCCACAACGCGTCGGGTGTGTGGCGCCTCAAGAAACGGGTGATTTCAGGCGAGCGCTTGGTGTGGAAGATGAATGAGATTCACGAGGCGGTGTGGTATCAGCCTAAAAGCTCCCTCAAGAGCAGCATCGACATTTACCCGCGCAGTTGGGGAGAGACCATGAAGGTACGATGCTTCATGCTAAGGTGAACGCTTGGTGTGGAAAGTGAATGAGATTCACGAGGTGGTGTCGTATTATCACCACCAAACGTATCACCAGCAGCCATACTTATCAACCCCCCCCCGCTCCCGCTCCTTCTCTTTCCCTTTCTACCATAATGCAGTGCTATGATCGGCCAGCTCTAGGGCCGGCAACCCGAGTACTCCCTAATGAATCGTTTTTTTAGGCGCCTAAAAAATCGTATCACCCTCCCCTCTCCCGTTCCTTCTCCTTCCTTTTTTACCATGATGCAGTGTTACGATCGGTCGCGTCCTGGACCGTCAACCCAAGTGCTGCCCGTTGAATCAGCACCATGGTCATACTCAGCCGAATCTTGCTTTGACTCGAGCTTGCAGAAGGCAGCACCTCAGTGGACTCCAGAGAGCATTCTTGCTGAATGCCCTGCGTGTATAGAATGGCTGCAAGAGCGCCTGCCATAGAGACCGGCAGGCATCCAGGAAATACACGTGTTTTTACGAATGCGTGGTACGGTAATGTCATTTGGATAGTGTCATACTACATTTCAATGTTTTGTGCGACGCTATACCACTAGCAGGGTGTAAACGCACCCTATTTGCAACTTCAAGGAACACATTGTCCTGGGATACTTGCATGGTACATCCTCTGTTGGCTTTGTCAGCCTCTGGATTACTTTGAATGAAAATTTATGCCATCCTTGTTGTTCACGATTATGATCAAGATGATACTGACAATGCAAGGCGTAGATTCAATTGAGTATGTCGCACACTCAAAGGGGGAGTTGTGAACAAAGCCCCGTGAATGTGTAACCAGCGTTCTAGCGAAATCAATATATTCGTTCTCGCACTGAAATCAGGATGTGGCATGTCCGTGAGGACGGCTTCGCGATCTTGGCTTGGATATGCCTGACTGATGACTGACTGGTCACCACCACACCAAACCCTTGGTATTGCCGACCTTTTTACAGGAAGCTACAAAAATATTTGTCGGAGGCAAGCATAGGCGGGTAGTGAACGGAACTGTATTTGTCGATAATATTCGCCTGTATTGTAAAGTTCCTAGCATCATCCTAATTGGATTGATTCTGCTGACGAATGCTCGAGAGATAGGGGAAACCATGGTTATGGCTCCCTGTGTGATGGGTAATGCGGTGTATGGCTCCTTTTCCTGCGCGACAGTGTCATGTATGCTTCTGTCGGCAAAATCAGTGTATGTATCAATCAAGCAACTCATATCAGTGAATACATGTGCTCCAGCTCCAGTCACTCCAGTTTCCAGTTCCACTTCAACTCTGGTTCCCCTCCCTTGTCACTGTCAGAGCTCAGAGCTCCTTTCACTCCATACCGCAAGTAGGTCGCAATGTCACCTTCCGATATTAGTCCCATGCCTCTTCCCGAGCCTGAAATATTCGTCGACGTCGCCATAGCGGGGGCTGGTCTTGCCGGTCTCGCGCTGGCAGTCGGCCTGCAGGAGCGAGGTTTTAAGTCAGTCATGCTATTCGAGGCCGTGCCTTACTCCCGCTCTCATCGGAAAAAAGTGGGATTGTCGAATCCAGTCGGGGGTGAAGTTCGTGCCCGTTCTCATCGTCATCAATGACGATGAACGGTTTAGGTTTGGCGGTCGGACGTAAGGGAGTGTTAGTGGTTGGAAGTTGGTGTGAATGCTTAGTTGGTGGCTCTATACGGTTGAGTATGTGTGGGGAGGATTGTCGCTACTGTTCCCGAAACCTTTGCTGACGGGATGTTGTCATCTACGGCTTGGCTTGGTGCACGCGCGGCCTGTGTTGTTTTTCCGATTTAGCTATGACGCGTTTCAACTTTCCATGTTGCGTGTTGCTGTGTATCTCGAAACGAATCTGTATGAAGTGATTTCCTGAAAATGTAAATGTGTGTATTTCAAGCTCACTGGTTGTCAACATGAGGTCGGATTATTTTTATGGAGTGAATATATGCAATTTATCTCAATCGTTTCGACGGGTATGTTTTCTCATTTCGTATAGAATTCATATATGTTAAATTGTGGGTACAGTTGACTAATATGATGTCTTTTTAGATATAGAACACTTAATTATAAATGAGTTTGCTTTATATATTCAGGCGTGACACTCTATAGCTGGTTGTTGGACACATGTCCGTTTTTTTCATTCGCACCGAAAATTGCGGGAGTTGGGAAGGAAGCAATTCGCGGCCCGTCTGTTTCTTACGCGAATTGCAATGCCAGCGGTTTTTGCTTTTTTCATTCAGGCTTTTTGCCGCGTGGTGACGAGAGATTTCAGGCATGCGTTGCGACTCGCGAGTTGTTTGTTACCGGTAGACACCCCTCTCGCAATTTTCGCCCCTCGGAGCATTCCGACCG